ATCCAACGCGCGCTTGTGGAATAATTGTTAAAGATAATTTGGTTTCATCAAGTCAGTTAGGAATGCAAATTGGCCACCGCAGGAGTTTCTAAAGAGTTTTCTATCTTGGAAACTGTTTACAGTGGCCAGTTTACATTGTCTACTCAGTTGATAAAACCAAATGATCTTGTACAACCCTCCACCAGCGCACTACCTTAGTTTCTTTAGAAATTTACCCCCTTTATTATATGTAAGGCAGTTGATCGAATGCTACAACTGCTTTTCGTTGTCGTATATGTATGCGTTTTTAAAGTGTCTAACATTCCTTCGTTTTTTCTCTTTTTCTGGCCTCTCTTTCAGCAATTAAAGGACATCAAAGTAAAGGAGAAGGCAGAAGTGAATAAGCTTCCTGTTTTACCTCTACCGTTAATTGACCAACATGCGACGAAAGTTATACCATGTTACCGACACAACAGTTTTCAAGGCACACAACCGGAAAGGACACTTGTGAACAGTGCACTAGAAACAAAGGACAACTTTTTTAATCAAACATTAATCAAAAATAGCAACTGGACTTCTGTTGGACAAACTTCTTTTGATGATAAATTTAATCATACATTGGCTCAGAGGTGGATTACACTCCAGGAAGAAGCGTACGAGAGTATTAACATGACCTCTTTGCCTCCTTCGTTTCGATGTCAAACACCATGTTTAAGCTCAAAGACTGATAACAGAACGAGGCCGCTCGGTGTTGTCAAAGGTACGTGCAGGGGTTTTTGCATCCCAGATCTGCTGAAATAAAGGAGGTTTCTCCTGAAAAAAATAACATTTTTACTTCCACCATTGAATTGAGTGAAATGATGATATTAACGGAGTTTAAAGATTCCACTGTGTGACCTGACATTTTAAAGATTGTCTTCAAGTGTGCTAAAAATTCGACCTCGCAGGCCGCCATTTTGAATCGTACTTGGCAACCTGGTCGCTTACCTTAAGCGTTACAGTTTCACTTCTCTATTTCCACCTCTTCGGGCGCAAAATTCCAGCCATATCCTTGCAGTTACTTTAGTCTTGAATGTGCTTTTATGATTTTATTATTCCAGAGACTATTGGAGTAGAAGTTGTTCTTAAAAATCCTCTCAAGATTCCATTAAACCTGACAAATCTTCTGTTATTATGGGAATTCACTCCGGAAGGTCACGAAGATAGCATCTCAAATGAGGTTAGCGATAACAAATCTGAAAGAGGTAACTTTGCAATCACTTCAAAACTAAAGAAAGTAGGGCAGGTTCTACAGGTTTCACGTGAGGTTGAAAGTTACGGATATCGGCACACGGTAAAAATGGAACCTCTTCGCGTCTGCCTTTAGTCTTACTACTAGCAAATTTATACTTACGTTAATGTTCTGTTGCAGTTTTCACCAAAGGAAGATTTGGTCAAAACGGAAGTAATAAAGAATTTTGATATCAGTGGAAATGAAACCAAAGCTGTAAGTAAAACAAAGCAAGATGAATCCAGTTATGCTCAGATAATCACTTGAGGTATCATGCTAAGATCATTATGCCTCTCTTGCTCCGTGAATTGTTTTGTGATAAAGCTAAGCCAAAGGGTCCTTCTTGTGAACGATGTCTAGAGACCCCATAGCAGACACTGGAAACCCAACCTTTATTTACTTGATTATGAAGAAATTTAAAGAGTTTTGGATTTGTTTAGCCCGGCGACTGAAGTCAAGTCTCGGCGTTTAAATAACGCGCCCATGGTGACTGAAAAAATGCGCTGTATCCCTACAGGCCCGTCTCACTGTCATTCCATGTCAGACGGGACGGCTTCATATCACAGCAATTAAGTACAGCTTGACAACTGCAGCCATCCATGGATCAGTTGATGAGAAAATCTCCGTCCCTCCTGGGGCAAACTCTGCTCTGCCAGACATCAGCATGCAAGGAAGGTTGGACTTTGATCAGAGAGGCCCTCGGCTGAATAACACCAAGGCAGAGAAGACGAGTGTGATCTATGGACCAGACTATCGTCTTCACTTGGATGTTGTGCCGCCAATGCCGTTACTTGAGGTAAAAACAACAACAACAACAACAACAACAACAACAACAACCCGCGCTTACACATGCATGACAATTTTCCTTCGTTAACTGTAAATCAGATGGGTTTTTTCTCATTTTTTTTTATTGTTTTAATGGATGGACCAGAGGAAAATGCAAATCTTCAGCTTTTTGTCACAGCCTTAAATAAATCGCTTGAACTTACCTATGATTGGATTTCGTCTTCCGTCCTATTGTACGATAAGTATACTAGGGGTTCAAAAACTTTTATCATAAGCGGCTGCCGATGGTGTGACAAGTGGTAGAGCAGTAAGACTAAACCCAAACACAAGAGCCTGTCCGCAGGCTCAATAAACGGCAATGTGAGGTGTAACATGCAGCAGTAGACCGCCGCTGATCGGCTTTAACTGAAACCGCCGTGGATATGTAGTGTAATGATCACTGAGAGCATGCGAAGCTCGAGTTTCAAAATTATGTTTTGACATTTGCACAATCGTGCTACCCTTGTGTAATAGAATCGTTTCAAAACTTTTTAAGAGTATTTTGATGGGATGACTTCTTTTATCATCAGGTTCGGTTCTCGGGATTTTCTAACAAACTCCTTTGTAACGAAGTGGTCCAAACCATGGCAGAGTTCATCAACTGTAGTGAGTGTCACCTTGAAAAACTCTACATCGCCACACCCAACCCTGAATTCTTCACCTTTGGAGACAGAGAACATGCAGTGGGCGGGGTGAATGTGAACCACGTCAGAAGAGTCTTTCAAGTTCCCATTGCTGGAGGTAGTCTTGCTCCTGGTTATACGACCAAGTTACCAGTTTGGATTCAAGGTCACAGCAAACCTGGCAGATTCAAACGAGAAATGTTGTTTTACTACCAGTCTGCAGGCATCAAATCTGCAATGAGGTAATGCGACGTGGCTAAGTGGTCCAGTTTTCAATCGAGTGTCGAAAGTACACGTAATGCGTTTTGTGAAGGCTCCTCTTGACTTCGCCTTTTGACTGGTCTACAAAATTCGTGCGACCTTCAGATGCAAAACTAAAACCATTCGCGAGACTCGGTCACTTGCCTTTTCCAGCGCTTTAGACAGTTTGCTTGTTTAAGGTTTCTATTGGTTCCTTATGCTATATTCCTTTGTTCTGATTGGCTGCTGTTAATACTAAGGTTTGGTTTGCGACACTGACTCAATCGAAATGAGTTCAATAATTTTTGTAAGATTGCAAAGGAAAAGATATACTTATTGTGGTGCTGGTATCAATATTTCACGCTTTTGCCTTTCATCGGTTGGGTCTGGTGATTATCGTTTATTTGAACCTTTATCTGGCAGTTATCGAGTGCTTCAGCATGCCTTTGACGTAACCACGAATAGCTCTGTTGCTGTACGCGCCACGGCAAGGCGGAACAGACACTCCGTTTTTCAACCAAGGTACGTTACTAACCGGATACTTGTTTAAGACAAAAGTGACGAATTTTTCGTCACTTCTCACTATGCAAAGCAGAGATGCGGTTAGAGGCTCTTTGTCATCAATATAGAAATGGTTAATGTGTCCAGAAGTTTTTGCGAGGCGCGAACGTAGGGCGGAAGTTCATCGTATGGTTAACCCTTTCTTTCCTAAGATCTCATTGGTGC